TCATTCTACTCGTGGACTGGCTACATCCTGGGCTTTGTTCAAGGGTGTTTCCATCCAAGACATTTGTGCAGCAGCGAGCTGGTCCTCACCGCTCACTTTTGTCCGCTTTTACAGGCTAGATGTCTCTGCTCCAAGTGTGGCCCGCGCAGTTCTGGGCCCCGTGTTGAGACAGGGTTCTACCTGTTAAGTTCTGGTTGTTTTGGTGATTTTCGAGATAAGCATGTCTAGCAATACGGGAGTTTCAATATCCCATAGTGAGACATCGAACGGAGTGTTATGAATGAGAACTATAGGTTACTTACGTAACCCCAGTTCTCAGAGTAACATGAAGTGAGATGTCTCACCAGACGGCCCTTCTTGCTAAGGCGAAGCGAGAAGAGGTGCTTATTTTGAATGACGCTGCGTCGTAGCGCAAGCTATTTATAGGGTGGGTGGATTCCCTGACGTAGACGTCAAGATCACCAGCCAATCAGGATTGGCGTAATGAGATTGATGCTTCTGTTTGCATACGCGTTGAGGCGCATCCCATAGTGAGACATCTCACTTCATGTTACTCTGATAACTGGGGTTACGTAAGTAACCTATAGTTATTATTATGTGTGGTGTTTCTGGTCTCTCTCACCCTCAGCCACTCTGTCCAGCACCACGGTGATCTTCTCATTGTCCAGCAGCCGCTTCTTCAAAAACTTGACGAACACGCCGTTGGTGAAGCCGCTGGAGCTCAGCTCGAAGGCCTCTGCATCCTGGCACCTGGCCAGACAAAACACAACATTTTTACACTGGGAAACAAAAACTGTATGCATTTTGTTTTGGATGATGAGTGATGTCTTAAACTTACGTGGCATATCCAAAGACAATGTTGGCCGTAACCCTCAGGATGATGTTTGGAGCGCTGTCATCATGGTAATTTCTGGATTTTTTTTAAAGATGCAACAACACATTTGTAAATCCTTAACAGGTCTGCTGGAGCAAAAGATAGTCCTAAAGGCTCCTAATGCCGCATAATACTGCAGAAATAACATATCTGGTTCGATTGCAACTGACCTTTTGCATGTCAAACCCGTCTCTCTCTCCTCTCTTCAGAATTCCTAGTTATTATCACTTTCATCTATCTAATAGGGCTTCAAATTATCCCATTATGTAATGCAAAATCTTCAACAAAATGTAAATGAATCTACTGTAAATAGGTTGATGACTCAAGAGGAAATGTGCCACGTTAAACAATAAGAAATATATTTGTTACCGAAAACCCTTTAGAAAATAAATTTACATTTTAGTAAACAAAAGCTTTCACGGAAATTACACTGCATGGAAGCATTCCCATGGCAATTATTTGTGCAGTTCTTATTGTAATACATTGTATGATTTATTATAATGAAGAAAATGTAAATTCTTACTCGGGTTTTCTTGCAGTATTCATAGTTTGTAATATTTCAGGTATAGTATGGATCTGAGCACTCTCTACACATGGTTGCTTTTGTGATACACTGGAGTAACCATACTCTTTTACCTACATCTATTGATACCCGGAAGTCAACTTTGAAACTGTTCCCAGCATTGTTACAGGCCATAGTGACGTACACTTTCTCTGTAATGGATCCAATCTATGTTCTTCCCAAATAGCTCGTGTCACGCTGACTTTATAAATATTGGCAACGGGAAATACTAATTCTCCTGCAATGTGAGTATCACTTACAATCCCAGTTAAATGTAATAGGTCTAAGGGACTGAGCCACTGCCTCACCTCTTCCTGCACATGTCCAGCAGGAAAACATTGAGGCCCGTCTCCTTCTCCTGCATCAGTTTGAGGATGCTCTGCACACACAGACAGTTGGCTGAGCGGTACGGGTTAGGGGCGTCTACCGGAACCATGAAACTGTTCCCGTAGTTCTCATACCCGTGACCAGCGTAGTACAGTAGACCTGAAAAGTGAACGTCATGTTATGAGAGGTGAGTCTTTTTAGATCTTCGACCATCAAGCAAGATTCAGAAGTAAAATCCTAACGTACCGTAGACCCCCTTGTGGAGCAGCAACAGGAACTCGTCCACAGCGTTCCTCATCTCCGTCTCTGTGAGGTCCAGCAGTGAAACCACCTGGAAGTTGAGCTGCCGCAGGAGGTTGGTGAGGTCGTACACGTCCACCATGGGGGCTTTGAGCTGCGGGTGGTTCTGGTAAGACAGATTGCCAATCAGCAGCGCCACTTTGTCAGTCGCTGTGAGAGAGAGGGAGAGGAAAGCGCTCTTTAAAACTACAGGGGGGAAAACAACTCATATGTGTAAGGGAAACTTCTGCAGCAATGGAGAGTCAGGACTCAGAGAGACACGAGGAGAGTTGGAGCTTTGATGTCAAACACTGGTGTTTTATTACAAGTATCGGCCGGATAATTCATATCACAAGTCACAGCAGCAAGTGGTTCTGACTGCCCGGGTGGGTTGCCACATCAATTCTGCCCAGCCTCTCTCTCGATAGACCTTTTAACTAGTTTACAGAGGGTTAATCCACATATTGGGGGATGGTGCGTAAACATCTGGGAACACTGGAGATATCTCCAACATCTGGAGTTGCTGAATCACTTGCCTGACACTTAGGCTCTGTGACCGAGAGTTGACTGGTCATAACACTGACAATGACAGAGTCAGGGTTGGTTATAAACGTCAACAGGCAAAAAAGTTAAATATCTTAGGAGTAAAGACAAAATTATTCCCTAACACTCACCTCCTCTAGGGGGGTCCGGGGGCATGCTCCCCCGGGAAGATTTATTTTTTAATATTGACATTAAATGCATCAATCTGTTGCACTTTGAGAGCAAAATGAAGAGATCTATGGATACATCTCTCAACACCCATATGAAACAGAACTGTACACAGATGTTCTATTTCTTTATGGATATTTTACAAATTACCCCCCTTTCAAACTGTATTCTTGTTTTACTGTCATATAGTAGGCTATTTCATTCCTGAAAAGAGTGTTTCATGGACATGTAAATTATGTTCATCTGTCACTATTGGATGTACTCGTTAGTGTGTTGTTTTACATGGGACCCCACATGTGTGTGTGTGTGTGTGTGTGTGTGTGTGTGTGTGTGTGTGTGTGTGTGTGTGTGTGTGTGTGTGTGTGTGTGTGTGTGTGTGTGTGTGTCTGTGTTT